GGGGGGGGGGGGGGGGGGGGGGGGGTCAGATCCCACTCTGCACGAGGGCAGTTTTCATGTTTACTGTCAAGCAGGTTTACTCCGATTTCCTCTTGTAGTCCAAAGACATGAAATCAGGCTACTTGCCCGTTATTGTGGGCGGACATGGCATCCCATGCTGCCTTGTGCCCGAAGCTGCCTGGCATGGGCTCGGAGCTCACTGATAGCCCATCCAGGAAAGCCATTTGGAAGCTGAATGGATGGTTGCTCTATGTTGTCTGCAGTGTGTATTTGCTGAGATTACTGTTCTCTGTCCTGTTCTTCCTAGAATATTCTCTAGCTTTTCTGAAACCCCGCATTGCAGAAGTGCTCACAGAGGATTGATGGATTATTATTATCATATGCTTAGGTAATAATTTTATCTTGCAGCATTTTATCTTTGATTAAATATTCTACTTAAAGGCACAACAGGCCAAACCCCTCCTGGCAAAACTCCAGGCCAAAACACAGGTCCAGGCATTTTTATTATTTAACTGTGAGAAAGAAATATTTCACCAAAGGGCTTTATAGCATCCGTGACTGTGGAAATGAGATTTTATTGTACACTTTACAAGTTCGATACTGTATTGCCGCCCATGCCGTTTCTGAGGTATCACTTCTTGTGACAGAAAATCATTATTTCAGTGATGTTTTTTCTTGCAAGTTGCTTAGCATGCACTTACTGGACCATCAGTGTCACAATCCAAATTGTGTCAGACTAATGAATTCACTCATGTGCTGGCATCAAAATGACTTTGAAACACTATTGACCTTTTGTCTTTGTACTAACTAATTTAGTTAAAATTACTCATACTCATAAACAGAGACACAGCAACAATCCATGTAAACAAACCCAGGCCTGTTACCTCATTGTGTCACTTCAATTGCAAAGTAAACCAAGTCAGTTTTGTATGAGACAGATATTAAAATATATTGGTTGCTGTTAATTCCAAATGTAATAAATATTTTGCGGGCAGGCAGCTGTGACTTAGCAGATAACATCTTTGCATCTGGGTGAAGTTTATGTGACAGGATAAATCAGATCATAGACCACGAACTGAAGTGTCTATGAAAATTCCAGTGGGGAGTGTGACAACACCAGTTACGATGGCATTAAGCCATGTGACGTCTAACAACTGAAAGCCACTGATGAAAGCACCAGACTGGCAGAAGTCTGCAAAATCAGCAGATGTATCCCTCTGCTTTACAACCAAACTTCTGACCAAATGGTTACAAGTTAAAAAGTCACCACTGTGACCTGAATTACATCTGTGAGAGGCCTTGCCAAGACTTGCACTGGATGAGTGTTTATGGGGAATTAATGCTTCAGTAAACATTTGTACAGATAGATAAGTGTAAAAATGTAAGGGTAATGATTAGTGATGGGCAAAATGATACATATGAACCATTTTATGTATTTTTTGACTCCACTAGATGGTGCTGTCTGTTCAAAAAAGGTTCAAACCATGCCCCGAAGCAAGCCAAGAGCGCCATCTAGTGAGATCAAAAAATACAGCAAATGGTTCATCAAGCTTCATTTGCCCATCACTAGTAACGATACACGGGGCAACAAATTTCTATTTGAAAAACTTTGATTGGCAGTGGGCAACTTTTCATGGTCATCCAGATGAAGATAAGTTGTCCTTTGTCTCAGATGGTTAGCAAGTACCCGGCAACATTGCTCAAAAAGTTGCCCTGCGTATCATCACACAGATATGCATGCAGCTTTGTATATAATTCTCTATAATTCTCTCCAAAACTATGAAGTTAGGCAGCACAATTTTTGGAGATCTATCCATGAGCCACTTATCCTGGACAGTAATTGGAGCCTGTCCCAGGCAACACAGGGCACAAGGCTGGGTGGATTAGGGGGATGAATACAGACACATTCATAATCTATAACCAAGTTAGAGATACAGGCAGTCCCCAGGTAAGAATGTTCAACTTACGGACAACTCATACTTACGAAGAGATTGCCATAAAGCCCATTATATTAAAAAATTAGGTTAAATACAATAGTTTGTGAAAATGAATGCATGCACTCCTTTGTGACGGTTGTGAAAATATTGCACAGCTTCGGCAGTTTGTTAGCTTGAGGTACAGTACAGTATCATATGTACTTTACAGTACAGGTACAGTACATTATCATATGTACTTTACAGTACAGGTACAGTACAGTATCATATGTACTTTACAGTACAGGTACAGTACAGTACAGTATTATATGTACTTTACAGTACAGGTACAGTACAGTATCATATGTACTTTACAGTACAGGTACAGTACAGTATCATATGTACTTTTACTATTACAGTATAATTATTATCATTATTATGTACTGTATTATTATTTTTCTGACTTGCCTACAAATTCAAGGCAGACTTATACAGACTTATAGATAGAATTAAAGATAGACACAGGCATCGTATCTTGTTCGTGATCTGGGGCTGGCTGTAGCAGTTTTATTTAACTGCACATCAATCATTGGTTAAGAAGCTGGAAGATAAAATGATGAAAGGAGAAGATAAGCAGGCCAACACTGTTGGTTTATGTGCTAGTTGTACGTTCATTATTGTCACTTGCAACCACATTAGTGTGTGTATGTGTGTGTGTGTGTGTGTGTGTGTGTGAGTGAATTATGTTTATATTACATTGTGGGGACCAAATGTTCAACCGTTCTCCCCTAAACACACTGTTTCATATTTAGTTTGGTTACTTATAGTTAAGGTTAGGGCTGGGTAGAGGGTAAGGTCATCATATTGGGATTAGAGTTTTCCCCATAGAAATGAATGGAGAGTCCCCACAAAGATATAATTACAAACCTGTGTGTGTGTGTGTGTGTGTGTGTGTGTCTGTGTATGTGTGTGTGTGTGCGAGGGAGAGCACGTTACTGTTCTTTGGTATCTAGTATGAATATTGTGTGTTGAATTCAATGCTCACAAAGTTAAAAAAAGTTTTATTTCAAGAAGAAACAAGTAATACATCAACTTGTGAATTGCGCCTGCCTCTACCTTAATAATGCTCGAGATCTCCTAGAAAATATAATCACATACAAAAAATGAATACAGTACAAACGGAAATCAATGCTATGTAAACAGGCTCAAAATCTGTCATTTTTAATATTAAAAGCCCTTATGAGAAAGGTTGTGCAATATTTGTATATTCTAATGCTAATATACAGAAACTGAGTAACTTCTGTGTGGAAAAAAACAAAACAAAAAAAATAACAATAAGAATAAAAAGCCTCTTTCTGTTGCTCCTCCAAGCAGAGAACAGGAACTGAGTCGCATTATTGCATGTTTCCATTGAGGTTAATCCATAAAACATCAAGAAAGAATCTTTTATCGAGGATTACAAAAAAGGCAAAGAACAATACAGTGGTGTCTGAGATGGATACGGTTAGTCAGCCTGATTACATACAGACATTCTGCTGTTTTTAATCATGGATAGAGGCCAACATCCAACTCGATGGGACACCATCAACAGAACAGGAGCAGGTATCAAAGGCACTGAAATCCCTGTGATAACAAAGGCCACCACTCCCACTGGGATGTCCATGACATTCCCCTATTTTGTCACATACATGTCACCGACTTCTTTTACTTCTTAATATACATACATTCGTAACACTTTCAAACCGCGGTCTGGCCATTTTTCTGCCGCCTGCCTCCTGCTGCTGTGAATCAGGACCCCAGTTCCGTCCCGAAAGAGGTCACATTCCTTAGCCGGACCCCGCCTCACACGGTGCTCTTGATGTCGATGACGATGGAGTACCTGACGAGCTCTGGGTACAGTGGGCCTTTCTTGTCGGGCACCAGCGCTTGTGCCGCTGGCTTCTTCAGCTCCGGGGAGCGGTGCTCGACCAGAAGGGAGGTGAGCGCCGCCAGGGAATCGTGCTTCTGAGACGAGCCCTGGGAGCAGAGGGGCGCCGCAGTACCAAGATGCGGTTAGGAGGGGGGCAGAGCGCAGAAAAAGAAGGAAGGGAGAGAAAAGAGAAAACAAAAGAACTGCATTGTAATGGTGCTGACCACAGTTGCTATATAACACAGCTGCACTAAGTGCATATTGACGTATCCTATGTCTGAGAGCATGGAGAGCCTGAAAAAAACCATCACATTTCTAACAAACCTCACAACATAGTCAACAAGTACCGTAAGGGAAAGTTGAAAAGAACTTTGAAGAGTGAACTTGCAACAAAGGCAATAATACAATGCTTACCACAGATGTTGAAGAATCACCTCTATACCTCCTGCTAAAACAGAAATCATGTAGTATAATTAATCAATCAATCAATCACAAAAAATGAAAGGTTAAGAAGCAAGGTATAAAAATCATTAAGAAACATATATAGACATCTACATGCCATATACCTAAACCAAATTGCTTCTACTTCAATAAAAAACTACCCACTGTGGGACCTCCTAAACTTAATTTTCAGTCTGTATAGTCTGTGCCTGCAAGTCATTTGTGAATAAGTTAATATGGTGATGGGATCCAGAAGAAAGAGAAAAGTTTAACCTCCAACATCCAGCAACACAGAATGGGCACCAAAGGCATAATGTAAGCAGGAAATTCTATTCTGATTTAAAGTACATACATGCATATATACATGCATATATACATAGCTACATACATACACACATTGAAGTAAAAGATCTTTGCGATAAATAGCAAGACTCATTCGATGACTTAAGAGAGATATAAGGTTTGGGAACTGAAGTTCATTTAGGCATCCAAAAAGATATATATAACATTTTACAGAAGAGAAGAAATTGTTTTTTATTGTGTTGCGGTTAACATGCATGTTCAAATGTTAAATTATATTATTTTCTGAGCAAATAAATATATACTAACCAGATAAATAGCTTGAAACATTTTCTTTGACTTACTAAGTACTACACAGACGTGAGCGAAAAAATGGACCAAAGCTTAATGTTGTGCAATTTGGATTCAAAACTAAAAGAAAAGAGGCCATGATACCAGATCGAGGAAACCTGTCTGTAAAAACCTGCAAGCAATAGATCACGGTAAATGATGTCTGTGAGCAGACAGGATTAACCCGACTGCGTCTGACCACATGTCGTGCCAGGGCTCAGTGCACATGTTAGCCACACCCACACCACTTCCTGTTTATGAATAGAAGGCACCACATTGGTTACGCCGAGGCCTGATAAGATCACCCTGATGGAACATGGCTTCCTGTTTGTCAGGCCGTTGTGGTACCTGTAGATATCTTACCTGTGACTGTATGCAACTTAGACCAGAACTCACCAAAGGACGCAGGTAGACACGATGAGGATGAGAGCGATTGCAAGCGCCGTTGGAATACATATGATGAAAATGTTCCCTGTAATTGGAGCAAAGCATAAAGAGAGTTTTGGACATTCAAAGAGCAGAATAATAAAGTTTCATAAAAAAACAGTATTCAAATACTAAATACTAAAAATAATAGTAAAATCAGTATTCAAAACAGAATTCTTTAATTTTAGCAATAATTGTACTGGCAGTAATTTTAACACATGTAGCAGGATAAGGAAAGGGAATTGCAGAGCTGTGAGTAAGTAGATGCAGTGGTTTTACTTCAGGACATTACAAATCAGGAAATCAGGATACGTAGTGTGTAAAGCAACATCATAAACAGCCAATACAAGACTGACGTGTGTTGGTAAGGTTTCTTGTTTTTTTATGGCAAAGGGTGCCATAAGGTTCTCTCCCAGATGTCTATTGTAATGTCAAGAAAATGTTAGTAATTTCCAATTTTGCACATTCATTTTTGGGCAGTCTGAGGCTTGATGCACATCTCTGGGCACTTACAGAGCTCTTGGTCCTCCTCGGTGACCTCCACCTGGACAGAGAGGGTCGCGGAGTGGTGGTGGAAGGAGGCTCGGCAGGTGTAGAGGCCAGCATCGTGTAGGGACACCGGGGACGGGAAGACTATTGCGGCACCTTTAGTCCTCACAGGTGAGTCATCACTCCTGGGACCCGCAATGTAAAGGACACAGAGGAGCAGTTAAATGCCAGGATTCTCCTAATGCAGCAGTGGGCAACCCTGATCCTGCTGTGCCGGTATCCAGAAGGTTTTCCATCCTACCTGGTCTCTGATGAACCTCACCTGATCTCAGGCAGATAGAAATTCATCAGGTAAGATAGAAAACTTTCTGGATATTGGCACTCCATGACAGGGTTGCTGAACCCCTGCCCTAATGAATAACTCAAGCAGTGCTCTTAGTCTGCTGTCATATTCCCTGGCTGAAAATGTCCCAAGGACCACATTCAGAAATAACATTGTTGTGGTGCATCTCCAGTCAATAAGGTGTTAAGCTGCAAAGATAATTTCTGATGACGGTTCATCCTTGCAATGTGATAACTGAATCTCAGAACCCAGTCGAAGTTCCAGTCAGGAAACATGCTTTGTGAAAATTTTACTATCGGTATAGGGTTAGACATGAAAACTTTAACGTGAACTTGCAAGCCCTTGCAGTGAGAGCTGCAGTAGTAATTACAGTGCCAGGATGTCAATGAATGTGGCGGCACTGGTAATGAGAGCAGTGTGGTTTGAAAGTCAGTGGTTATGTGAAGACAGTTTGCTCTTTATTTAAACTGCAGAGTAGAGTACTATTAATGAAAGTTGCTTAGCATAAAAGAAAATAGAGTTTCATTGGCGCGGAAAGGGTAGCAGCGTGATGGAACGGCAATAACGATTTTTTTTTACTTTGTTAATGTTCAGTGTTCATCAGTTTTGTATGCAGCCTGTTTTCCCAGAGTGCTGCATTATTCTAAGAAGTGTAACTAATGAAAATAACAGTAAAGGTATGGTTGTAATGAGGCTAGTTTTCAGAGGTGTTAAGGAGACAGATGCAGTGATAATGAGCATTAATTAAAACAGAGTCATGGTGCTGTTAATGGCAGCAGTGCTGTGTTTGAGAGAGCAGCAGAGGAATCCCTTTGGATCTGACTTTAAAACTAAAGGTACCAGTATTTTGACCAGGTCAAGGGAGATATGTACTTCATTTCAGCTCTGTAAGTATGGGAAGGTAGGCTGACCTGACACATGTGATATTGAATGCTGGGATTTTGCCGCAGACTTTCAGCGAGATCCTCTGATTGTGGAGATGCATTTTTAAAGATACTCTCTGTACTGCCGTGCTTGAAACGGGGTTCAGCAGTTTGAGGGAGGAGATATCTGTGAAGGTAACACCCTGGTCAATGAACAGGAAAAAACAACCAACAAATCTAGAAAGGAAAAAAAAAAACATCGAGTCTCTGTGGTCTGCTGTGGTTTCCTCTTTGAGCAGCAGTTTAGGCAAACGAGACAGACAGAGAGACAGACACATATTATAAGTAACAGTGCTGTGTTTGTAGTGTCGTGAAAAATTGAGGGAGCCAAACAAGTGAAAACAGGCTCATAAATCAGCAGAAATAAACTCTGCTGTGAGACCCGGCAGTGTTGGTGTTTAGATTGTTTTCATTGAAGGAATGCAGTGACTAAGGACAGTAAAATCCTAGGAGGAAGCTAATTTCACTGCCAATTTGAATATGGATTTCAGTGATGACATGTATGAAAACGACACACCAGTTAGCCCTGCTGAACTTACAGTACTGAGGAATGTGTACAGTCTTCTCTGCAGAAATGTGCTCATTTTTAACCTGGCAGGTCAGGTTCTGCCCCTCGTGGAGGTCCAGAAGAAACTCGTAAGTGCTGTTAGCCCAGAATCGACCCGTCACGTTCCCTGAGCGCTGGACAGCTCGGCCCGTGTTATTCAAAGGTAGGACCCAGGAGAGATTAAATGTGCCCATTTCCCAGCTGGACTCGCAGACAATGAGACACAGTGGGGAATTGGGATGCATGATGAACGAGACACTCAGCTTAGGGGGATCTGAAGAAAAACAGAAAGAATAAAGAGGCTCATTCTGCTGAATGTGTAGTAATGCTGCTTTCTTTGTACAGCGAACCATTCTTCACATATAAAACCTACCAACTGCCGGTATCCAGGTTTCTCTCCTCACTGGTTCTGCTAGAGCCTTGTGGGTAACTATACAGGCCAGAGTCCTTCCAAAGAATGACAGGGTGGGAATTGGAGCCGTACTGACGACTGTGGCAGACCCACTGGGGGAGGTCCAGTTTGCAGTCTGGACCCCCTCAGACCAGCTGATGCTGTTGCCTCCATGATCATCGCTTAGACTCCAGGTGATTGTGGCTGCAGGTTTGTTGCTATCGGCTCTGCACGTTACCAGAGTGTATCGCGTCCCATTTTCCCGTGTGGTAGTGATGCTAACATTAACTTCAGGGCCAGCTACTAAAAACACATACAACAGGCCAAAGGTCAGAGTGGCCGGTCCTATCAGTCATTCTGTTGGCTAAAGACAGTAGAGCTGCATTTCAGAGAAGCAGACAGTAACATTTTGGTTTTGAGTGGAAACTATTAAGGAGAGCAGATTTGCTGCCGAAACGGTGACATTTACAGGTTATTGCTGAGCCTGACAGTGCATACTCACAGCATGCTGGAATCGTCATCTCCCTGATATCTGTTTCTAAGAGAGCAGGGTGCTCTATCACACACTGGACTCGGTGCTCCTCAGATAAGCATACAGGCAATAGCAAGGCGACACTGACAGTATGTGCGCTATTCTGAAGCGTTGAATTAGGCCTGATAGTGGCAAGCAGACCCTCAGGTAGGACCCAGGACACGTTAGCCACTGGCACGGCATCTGCAGCAGAGCACTGGATGATCCTGTGATTTGTTTCTTCCCAGGTCTGTATAGTAACATTTGGAGCAACTGGAGCTAAGGGTGAGAGAGAGCAAGCTTTAGTGAGGAAAGCAAACCAGGGCTAGAAACCACAGGACAAGGCTACTGTACTGTACCTTCTTGCACTTCTCTAGGGGCTACTTGCATTTCTAGCTCCACTGATGCTTTGTGGTTGTAATAGGAAGCCTGACACTTGTATTTTCCAGCGTGATGTAAGCCCACAGGCCCCATCACCTGCAAGGAGCTGCCCATCACATTCATATCTGCAGAGAGGGGCCCATCTTCTCTGTGGAGGAAGAGAGAACACAAACACACATCCAGTTAAAATGGCCCAAGAAGGTCTTCTCTCAGGCTGTCCACTGTAAACAGCACAGCAGATGTCGCATAGGGCGTGAAGCAGGCCGTTTGTTTTCACGAGAAGGTTATTCAGCACAGCGCCATCCTCTGTCCATTTTTCATCTTCTGTGGTTTTTGTTTCTCATTCCAAATGGGTGACATCTCACAAAAAACACTTTTTAATACATCATTAGTGATACCAAATATTAAGTAAGGTACAATATAAACAAAATTGTTTATTAAAGAATGGAATTTTCATTCAATACTCAATACAAAGTCCATTTGAAAGATAATTACAGTAAAAAATAAATGATAATTGAAAAAACATTCTTCTGAGGGTGAAATCAGGGATTACTTGATGCAGTTGACTTGGTATCGGGGCACATTGCCTGTAACTTCAAGCTGAAAGGTCACGTTGCTTTGTCCTTCATCCACCAAGACGTGTCGCACAGCCACACCGTTCGGGGTTAGCACCCTCATTGCTGAAAAGCCTGGGTTCCCAGAACATGCATAAATCTCACATCCATCTTTATTTGTCATTTAAATACGTTTACGCTCTCAGCTTTGGAAAACAGATTCTTTATATCCACCTATATCTACATCTGCTCTATAGTGATTACTGGAAGGTCTCCCTCAACCCCAGGACTCACGGTAGGTGGGAAAGGTTACGGTCCTCCTCTGCTCACTGGGAAATGTGGGATGCATGACCATGCAGGTGATATTCCAGCCTTCATGAAGGTGTGCTGGAAACCTGCGTGAGCTGATGGCCGTCTCCGTGTCTGTGTCCATGTCCATTTCGATCTTACTTCCGACGTCCATTGAGATGTTTCTGGCCTCTGCTGTGTCTCCAGACAGAGACCAGGAAAGTCTGGCAGCAGGTCTACCATTCATGGCTTTGCAGGTTACCACCTGAAACTCTTCTCCTTCATCTTGAAGCAAAGTTGTATTCATGGTCACAACCGGAGTAACTACAACAACAAACAGCAATTTCAGAAAGAGAGGAAAGAGTTCTATACTAGTCATCAAAAACAGAGAGAAAAGATTCCGGAATAAACCACAGACAGGATTTTTTTGTCTGCTCCACATATATATGTAACATATGATTACATATCTGTAGTGACATTTAGGTTACTTTCTGCAAAATTCTGTTCAAGTATTCATAGTTATTATTATTATTATTGTTGTTGTTGTTATTGCCATTATTTTTACTGTTACTATTATTATGTTGTTGTTGCTGCTACTGCTGTCATTATTATTATTAAGGGTCCAAAGCACGAAGTGCTTATGGACCATTATTGTTTTTATTATTATTATTATTATTAGGACTTCCATGGATAGACTTCCATTCAATTTCTGAGTCAAGAGTAGTTGATGTAAACTCAATGTTCTTTCAAAAAACAAATCAGATCTACTTTCAGATTCACTCGAGCATCTGCGCAAGTTTTTTTTTATGTATGTCTGCCAGTGTGGTTACACAGCTGAACTGGATGAGGGGTTTGGCCCAGGAGGTGCAGACTGCTCTGTGACGTTAGGAACGGGGCACAGGTGGCCAGGCAGGAAGCAGACTGGAAGAGCAGCAGACAGTGACATCACCAGAATTCAGGAAGAGCCGCCTGAGCTCTACCACATGAGTGGCTCAGATAGGAGAGTGCGGTAAGCAGCCGAAATGTATAAACAGCCTAAATGGATGAGACACCATTTAACCATTTAACCAGCAGGCAGTCTGTGGCTGTAGCTATATCTCTGAACACACATTTAACTATGATAAATATCAGCTTGCTTATAACTTTACATCTGACCCACACAAGATTCCTGCATATCATCCCACAATAGCACATCTTACCAAAGGTCTGCACTTTCACTTTCACATGTGTAGAGTTGGCCAAAGCGGGGTGGTTGACAACACAGGTCACATTGCCTTCGTGCATAAGATGCATGGGTAGGTGAAGTGTGCTGGTCTGAGTAAAGGTGCTGTTAGAATGCTGGAGTGTTTCTGTGGTTACAGAAAATGCCACATTGTTGGGTTCTTGGTCATAGACCAGCCAGCTGACCACAGCTTCCGGCTTCCCTCCAGCGGCAGAGCAGGTGACCTTCTGGTAGTGCGTTCCATTCTCCAAAGTCATAGCCTCGTTAATCTGAACTGATGGCCGAGCTTGACAAATAAGAAAGAGAGGGAGGTTCAAATCCAGCAGCAGTGTATAGACATCCACCCATTTTCTGCAATGACTTGTCCTATTGAGGGTTGCAAGGGGCCCAGAGCCTATGGGCACAAGACAGGGAACAACCCAAGATGGGGCACCATCCCATCCCAGGGCACCCTCACACACCATTCACACTGACAGGTAATTTGGAAACTCAGATTCACCTCAGCATGTTTTTGAACTATGGGGGGAAAGTGGAGTACCTGGAGGAAACCCCATGATGACACGGGGAGAACATGCAAACTCCACACACAGAGTCATGGTTGGGAATCACGGTCCCAGAGGTTGGAGGTGACAGTGTACTGTGCCAACCAAGGGTATAGGCAGTAATAATGTGGTACAAAACTCTCCCCAAACATTCACTTGTAATATGTAGAAGGTACATTTTGGAACCAAAATGCAAGCCCATCTCTCCAAAAGCATACACGCACATAGTTGTAGATATAAGCACACCTTACCCAGGACAGTGAGGGTCATTGTTTCTTCCATAATTTCATATCCAGAAAAGAAGCTACATTTGTATTCCCTCTCATCCTCCAAACTAGTGATGTTCATCGTTATTGTGAGGTTGCTTGGAGACACCGGAACACTGAACTTCTGATCATTGACTTGGACCTCTTTCATAAAGAACCCAACCAGCTGCTTCCAATTCCCACTTGACTGCTGCTCAGTCCAGAAGGATGCCATCATATTCGATTTGCCAACATATTGGCATCTGAGAACCACCGTCTCCCCCAGAACCCCTACAACATTCTTTTGAATCTCAACATCAGAGCAGCAACAGTTAGCTGAGAAAGACAGGAGACATGGCAAAAGGTCAGAGGGGGTAACGAAACTGTTGGTCTTTGTTTTGCGGTGATGCAAAGATTTTCACCAGTCAACATGAACCTCCTGAATGGAAAAGCTAACAACAAGAAGCTTAACGAGAAAGCAGAAAGCTTGGTACACCCACATTCACATATACTCACATGTTAAATTATTATTCATTAGTTATGAAAAATACTGCTAACATGTCATTTTAAAAAACAGTCACAAAGTTCTGATTTACAAGACATGATCAACCCTCTGTAAGTGTCCTGATACTCCCCAAGCACCTCAGTGTCCTTTGGTATCAGTCTGATATTCTCCGTGGCTCCTTAAGATATGTTGTCAGATTTGTAAATAACCACTGAGAGAATAAAGAATGCTGTGGCGAAACTGAGATTACTAAGAGTTTCAGTTCTTTTGTGGTATAAAGGTTGTGCTTGATGACATATTGTGTGTTTGTGCTTGTGTGGATGCTTACTTGAACAAATGCTTTTCTTTGTGGCAATTGTGTTGTGAATACAGCACCACAGCAGTAATAAAATGTGCATTAATAACATCCCAGATAACAGCCCATTGTAATTCAAAAAAGGAAGCATCCTGGCTCTATGAATAGGGTCCTGACAGGATTATGTTGATGGTTTCATCAAAAAAATACCATAAAAATGTGTTTTAATGTGCCTGAAAGGATTTCATCTGGTAGGCAGATTTAATTGTCTACAACAGATACAAACACCTGTAAGAATGCAATCTTGACTCAAAATAAGAAAAAAAATCTGTATTAAAATGTTGTCCTTTGTCCAAAATTTCTTAAGTTACAGAACACAAAATTCTTATTTAATATACTTTATAACAGTTAAAATGAATCAATTTACCTTTACCAGCCATTGTTTAGTGAAATAGAAAAATATAATTAAATCAAATGTGCAGAATGACTTTTTGATACTGTAAATTGGAGAGAATGCAGAATTACATTATTGTATATATTTCCAAAGCTTATATATAACAATATCTACAATAAACTATAAATATTATAATTTGACATATGTAACAGTAAAAAGCATATGCATATAGTGTAGCTGAAAACCATGTATTTCAGTTTGCACATTTAAAAAACCTCTTTAGCAATAAATTAGAATCAGACTTACCCAAGACATTAAACACTAAGCCCAGGAATAGAAGAGCTGAACCACCCATTTTCAGTCTCATGGAGAGAAAGGTGAGGTGAAAGTTTTTAACTGTGTGTGTGTGCGTGTGTGCGTGTGTGTGTGTGTGTGTTAGTTAAACAGACAGTTAGACCAGCAGTACAGGAACCCAGAGGTGATGAGAGCACCAGCAGAGATCTCTCTCATAATTCCATCCCACAGAGAAGCTGTCTTAACAACAACTCATTGCCACCCTCTGTAGTTTTTGATCAGCAATGTCATCATTGGCAGCATATGCCTGTTTACTTCTCGATTCTCTGTCCTGATGGTGGGTAAAAGCCCACAGAGCGGCTGTGGCCTCAGTCCGCCCTCCACCCCTCCCCCCCCAGCCCGGCCGTCACCCCCCACTGCACCCGACACACTCTCACACACTCACCAGCTAGCATGGCTGTGTTTCCACAGCTGTTTCACTCTGTACAGATCAGCAAACTTCCTTCCCTTTATTTCTATATCAACACCCACCCACCAGCCCCCAACTGCTGCAACATTGACCTTGCAAGCCATACTTTACATTTTTATGAATTTTTGTAAGCTGGGTAGGAGCCACTGTTGTTTAATTTATTCAAAGCCTCAAAGTCATTTAAACTGAACACCCATTTTGTGTCATCTTGCTCTGTTTCTTCTACATACATTCAGAAATGTAATGTATCTGCATTAAGCATATTTGTGCAGTGAAGAGCATTAGCCACTGTCTTGACCCTGTTTCTGTGATACATTAAACATCATCCACCCATCCATCCATTTTCTGTTCCAGTGTAATTTAATTCATATTAATGCTCCCTTATCTATGCCCCTGTAAACTATCCCGTCATCTCAATGGCGATTTACTCTTGAGCATTCCCATTCGCTATTGCTCCCTTTACAAAAATTCTCATTATGATTTTTGATTTCCAGCACTGCCATTGGCTGTGTTCCAGCATTATCATTGACTGTTCCCAGTCTCCATGCTACAGCTCTTCTCTTTTTGCCACTCATTAGCTAATCATCCCTGTCTAATACTGTCATTGTCACTCTACTTTAAATCCCAAAGGCTGCTCCCCTCAATGACGCTACCCAAATGAAGAAAGGTGCCTAAAGGACTGTCTCTGCAACAGACTAATCCAGAAAATAGCTCTTTTAATATCTGTTGTATTTTTTATATATTGCATTTCCTTTGATACAGTTCTCCTCTAATATATTACCTGCAAGTATAATTTTTCTGGAATGCCTGCATGGTATCACGTTTCATCATTAGGGACCTGAGCATCCCCCGATTTATGCTAGATTGCTTGACTCCAAGAAAGGCAGAGTTCAGCAGAGGATGACACTTCAGTTTGGCTGTCAGATGTTTCCTCACTCATTCACAGTGTGGCTGGCAGTTTCTCTGACATGGACATGTTTGTCAAACTGAAGATGCTGAGTCAAAAAAGTGCGAAAGGGTGCTGAGCAGCCATAAAGGCAACACCCTGACTCATTCAGATATAGCTGAAAGAGCAGTTAAACCACATCCCTAAAAAGCCGTTTGAGGTTTTTCTGTAGGTATCAGTTTGAAACAAATATTTTGTTTGACCGTTTGTGCCATCTGTAGGAAAATCCTCCAAGAATTTGACTAAATATCCTAAAATTTGTTCAGCATGCACAGTACGGTATGGTCGGTATTTAAGAATTTGTATGCATCCCAATCAAGAAAGGCACAGGATTATGCTACTGAAACAATTCAAATATCATTAAAAAAGACAAACTCATCCCCAGCCTCCAATCGCTGGTCAGGTTGTTCAGGGCCCCGGGGCCGGGGGCCCAACCCAGGCAGCACAGGCCACGTAGCTGGAGTGCAGCCTGCAGGGGATTGTAAAAAGATAAATTAAATGAAAATACTGTCACTCGTTCCAAAAAAACATTTTTTACTAATGTTAGATATTATATTTTTAAATCCCTTTTGAAATTACATAATTATGAACTTTAGTGCCAGCAATTGACTCACAGGACTGGTCTTTTCCAATACAGTTTCCAGTGATATTTAACCATATCAAAGTTGACTGTGTCAATAACACATTTATGCTCATTTATCCTGCTTTAAGGCATCACATGAAAAACACATTTATGAGCAGTCTAAGCAATATACAGTATAACACACTTTATATAAATCTTATTAAATTATTACATTTAAATTAGTGCATTGTATGTAACTTTTAGTTTTTATATGCATGATTGTTAGATTGTGTTTTTTTATATAATTCAGTCTTTTCTAAACAGTTCACATTTGCCCTAATCCTGAAAGCGACCAAAGTAAGATTATATAAATACAAAACATCTTCTATTGCAGAATGAGGTGTCCCTTTATCATCAATTAAGTTTGCATGACTCATGACCTGGTTCAGGTTCATCTCTTCATCATGTTCTCCCTTCTGACTTTAGTTGCATAGTACGGGAACAAAGGCTTTCAGAAAGGAAACACCACTTATCAAGTAAAGCAGAAACCCTAATGATGCACTAAGCACAATGCTGTCCTTGAACCACCTTCAGTAGATAAAGATGTGAACAGGATGATTGAAAATAGGAAATATAGGTTAACATGCAATAAGAAGCAAAAGGATTTGACCAGAATTTCTGACTGTCACTGCAAAACAGCTCCAAACAGTCGCAGAGCAGTTACCCACATGCAGATATCGTTTCCAGAACAAAACATTGAGTTGAGTCATGACACATTCTGGCTTCCTCCTGAGGCTATCAATGCCACTCATTGAGGTTTCAGAGAGCAGACTTTCTGAAAGTGCTTCTTGACAACCGTTGGTCTCATTCAGTACCTGATTCATACTGAGAAAAACTGAGATTCATTCTCTTCGCATGCTTATGTCAGTGATTATTACAAACGATTATCGTAACACACAACACTCTGCCTCTGGCCAGTTCAGTAACTAATAACCAACCCACACTACCCGTATCATTCCCACTGGCCTAGTGGTCAAATTGTTAAAGGGCATCGGACCCCATCAGGTTGTAATGTTGTACGTATCAGACTTTATTTCAGTCAATCAGACTTTATTTATGTAACACTTTTCCTGCAAACTCAAAAAAAACACAACATCAACCCACCCCTGCTGCCACCCTCACCCAAACTATGTAAAGTAAAAGGGACAAAAGACATGAAAGACAAATATAAATAAATAAGGTATTAGGTGACTTGTCGCTTGACCAGTTACCAATGAGCTCCTCCCACTAGTCCCACTTTCTCATCTCTTGCACTTTTCTTTCTAGTTTTCTTATGTTTTACTTACATCTACTTCTACTTTATGTACTTTATTTCTTTATACCCTTTTCTGTAGAGCACTTTGAATAACCATTATATAAGAACATGTGCTCTACAAATAAACTTGTCTAGTTTTCCTTGTTTATACTGCAGGCCTCTTCCAGCACTGCTTCTGCTACATCTTAAGACGAATGTTATGCTTATTCCAAGGAAGCTCTCTGAATTTAACGGCCGTCGTCGTGCTCTCAAGTAACTTAGTAACTCAGTTACTACTCAGTTACAAATCATGAACAAATATAGTATCTGCATGAAATACAGGAAACATCATGATTGATTGATGATGAACGATCAGGGGATCAGTTCGTAACTAACACTTAGTTTCTGGTTAATTAATATGTTAAGTGAAAGTGTACAACTACATTATTCGTGATCCTTCAAGTAGTATTACGATATTAACACTGTTCAAATTACACCAACATCAACTAAATAGATTTCTCTTCAATTAATGGATAATAAATACCCTTTAACAAATGGCTGCAAATTAACAATGGTTGTTATTTCACTGATTATTTAAGCCATATCCAATGACCGCTCGCAGGTCATCATAACCAAAATGGCTCGGTCCTACACAGCAACACCATGTAGGCATTTGGAAAAATCTGTCTTCAAGGGCTGATAAATGTGTGCAAAAACAGGACTTGACCCATGAGTCACGTTAACGCATGACAACAAACAGGCAACCCCTTTGGTTCCCACTACACAACATCCCATAAATGTTTTTTAAATAGTCTCTAATTTCACTTTCATTTTTCCAGTCCACTCAAAAACAGCTAATAAAAACTCACTTACTATTGATCTAGGCGTGGGGACTAAGCCACTAGCTTCTGCCATAGACACCTAAGTGGTATATGGAACTGGAAACATCCAAAAGGTTATCATTTTAAAAGATTAAACTGTAATGAAAATGACCAGGCACAATCCATCTGGAGACCAGGCAATCACTTATTTGACTCATGCCAGAGTTCTTTACTTGACATCCACACTTTAAAGTACCATTCGCTCTGGCACTCATTTCTTAGTCTCTCTGACAGATAATTTAATTCATACTACAAATAAATCAAGGTCTTACTTTCATTACTGCAGTATGAATCCTTGCCCAGGGAGCTATGAAGCTTAATAGTTGAAAGTAATGGCAGGCATCCAAAACGGCTAGGGAAGGACAGTTTAGCGGCCAAAGACAAAAGTACTCCCTCATTGAAATAATCCTTCTAGTGCCCTAACTGTTATCCAGAGTTGGATGTTTGGGCCTCATGCCGGTTACTTTTTAATGACATGACACACCTGAGAGGAATGCTGACATCTTTTTTAACACCCAAAAACTCACAAATTATTGCTCAAGGTTCTGCTTTATGCCTCTGTTTAGACTGACTCTCAAATGTCTTTATAGTTGCATGCCTGTATGCAGGTATATATACCTTTGGGGCACTGTTCACTAGTGAGCAGCATGCTACCTACTTTGAATGGCCATGATGATTGGAAGTTCAGTGAAGTTTGCTAGAACTACAGTCCTAGAGCTACCATGCTTTAAGTAAATTGGTTCCATAAGTTAAGCCAGTGGTACCTAAGGATTCTCCGAAGAGACACAGTACCATTGGAGTCTAGTCTTCATCTCAGGTCACTGGAAAGTGTCCATGTCTCACAGCCATACAGCAAAATAAGGAGCACCAGGACTCTAAAGATTTGGACCTTTATCATATTATAGATGTCAGGAGCACCACACACCCCTTTCTAGTGACCTCATGACCCCCCATGCTCTCCCAATCTGACTACTGACTTCATAGAAGGTGCACCAGAGACTTGAATGTTGCTGCCAAGGTAAGTGAACCTCTCAACACAATAGACATTCTCTCCACTGATAGAAACACTGCTGATGGGTGTGTCCAAGAGGTCATTGAAGGCCTATAGAACCTCGCAAACTCACAAACTCAGACTCCTTGCTCAATCTCTCGAGAGCCTTGATCAGAGTCAAAATCAGTGACTTGTCCCTCACTAAGTCTTAGGATGTCCCGC